CTTGTTTTTTATTTTCAAACTTTCTGGTGTACATGTGCTGCTGCAGTTGGGACCACTGATTTTATGAYCCAGTTTTCAAAAGCTTTAACTTAAAATGAAGGCCTTAAATTTGTCTCTAGAACACTTTGGTATACAGAGTATAGATGCGTATTAGTAAAATGTGCAATACTTGTATATCTATGCTAATGTACTGTGTCTGGTTTAAGTTTTAGGATCAAATTGTTTTTATTACGTCTTCATATGGTAAACCCTTCATCTGAAAGAGGGTCGGCTTTCTTTCTCCTGTGACCAGGAATGAGTGCATCAACACACAAACGACGATCACTAAATCAAAATCTGTGTGTACCTGGATAATTTGGGYGAAGCGGGGGTCTTTCCGTTTTTTGTTCTTGATGAGCTCCAGAGCCTGAGTCTGATGGCAGCACAGCAGCGAGGCCTGTTCCTGAAACTCGCTTCCGGCTGCGCCTTCAAACTGGAAAAACAAATGCAGCGGTTACAGAGCAAAACAGACCAAACACGTTTCACCAAAGACAGAGAAAATGAGGGTCTTACCCTGGCCACCATGACATCTCCGATGTCCTGAACTACAGGAGTCTCTCTGCRCTTCTTCATGGCCTCGCACAGACTCGCTGTGAAGAAGGAACACAGAAACAGCTTTAGAGGAAAAATAAAACCAGCAAACATTCTAAACAAAATGTGACATTATACACATCTAAAGACTGAAACTGATATTGATCTAGTATTTACGTCAGTTATTGTTTACTAAAGGCCCTGTCACACTAACAGTTTAGACAACTTATGCCAACTTATGAAAAATTTAAAGACATCTAAGTTGAAGATGGAATTAAAAGAAAAATGATCTGGAAGCCTCTTTTAGGTGTGTACATACTGTAATGCTAACAAACAGACCAAATATATAACTTATTAGTAATTTTATCATAGAAATCTTCATAAGTTGACATAAATGGTCTATATTGTTAGTTTGAATACACATTGACACTATAGGGTAAATGGACACAGAGAAAAAGCAGTGATTCATTTAGATTCGTTTAGAATAAATAAAGTAAAAAAATAAAGTAAGGTATAAGTGCACTTTATTGAAGTATCTTTTAATTTTAAGCGTACGCCATGTTTTAGTAAGAGGCTCCTTGCTCCTGGTGATCAACTCAATAAAAATAGTTTTGTCTAAAATTYCCACTCTTCAAATTTACAAACAACAAAAAGCTGATTCAGGTTTTACAGCATCTGAGTCAAATAATTAGAGGCAATCCTGCGAATGTACTGGTATTAAAAATATTACAGATTTTAGGTGGTGCTGCATCACAGAGAGCAGCTGACACACTGTACTCAGGTCAAAAACAGTTCAATCAGCTCAAACATGTAATAAAAAAAATCTGATTTTTAGCTGCTTTTRTGTTTTCCACATCCACTGAGAACTAATACAAATGGTTTTGTTCATATGACATGAAGGAACACCTGTGATTCTGAAAACTTCAGTGATAGTTTATACTTGATATATGGGGTGATCTTTAGTAAAAAGGAGACATGACTGTTCTCCACATCATTTTCTCAAATACATCTGAATGCAGCAGCAGCATCTGAATGACTGATGCTGTTGCTTCAAAACACAAATCATGTCATTATTCTTTGGAAAACTTCCCCTGGGGCACCTTTAAAATCACTATACACTCTTTACCTTAGGGCCCAAAATGGTCCCTCTCTGAAATGTCTAATAAAAATGTATCTATGAATATTTTTTTGTTACTTTCAATGCATTAAATCTTTTCAACAACTTCAGCCTAATCGTACATATGAAGTTTTGTATTAGTTTTTCATATTTTTTATGTTTTTACAACATTTTAGTCAGGAAAAACCCTTAAAGTGAGTTTTTTTTTTCCTGAACGGAAATGTTCCAGACATCATAGCGAGATCGTGGCTCATGAGGACTCACCATGGAGCTCGTAGACCTGAGGCAGGTTCGGGAAGATGCAGGCCAGCTCCTCGGAGTTCAGCACCGGCCTCAACTTCTGGAAAAAGACTTTGTCCAGGACCCTCAGGGTCCGCAGGTGGGACACCTCGGTGGTGAAGAGCTCTGGAGAAGAAACGGACCAACGTGTCAGAGCAYGACGGAGACATAAAACGAGTCCATCCTGACTCTTTGAGCCATACGTACCGTATATGACAGCCTGCCGGTCCACCTCCTTTGGGCTGAGCGTCACCAGCAAAGGAGGAGGAACCGTTTCCTGCCAGTTCTGACCGTCGCACACCTCGTCCTCCAGCGCCGCGGCGTCTGGCAGCAGGGCCAGCGGCGAGTCCATACTCCTACATGTTCACAAAACACAGAGTGAGACGATAACACGGATCAGGTTTTCACTTGTTTCACACTGATGTCGCTGAYGTGAGCAGAAGAAATCCGGCGTAYGTTTATCAAACATTTGAGATTAAAACTAAAGTCTTGTTTCARAAGTTCTGCTTGTGTTTCCTCTCATGTAGTTCCTGCAGTTCTGTTCGCCTGCGGGGACGGCGTGGTGACTCACCTGCGTCTGGACCGAGGGGTGTATGGGGGTGTAGGGTTCTCAAGAGACCTGAGTGTGAGAGAGCGGAGAGAAAGGTGGTGTGAGGACAAAAACCCACACGGTCAGGAGGAACGTGGGGGGGGCTTTCATTCAGGGGGAGTTTRTTCATGTGGTGAGTGACTTCCTGTCTGTGCACTGCTGTAAACAGAATCAGTGAATCTTTACCGGGCAGAGCTGCTGGATGCGGACGACGAGGCGCTCTGCTGCAGARGTCGAAGGCCCTGTTGGTCCTGCTCGTCTCCGCAGTCTTCTATGTCCACGTCGCTTCGAGAGCGGGGCACCGAGTCCCCTCCGGAGCCAGCGCATCGCCGCCGGCCCTCCCCCTGGGCCTTCAGGGACTCGCTGCGTGCCAGACGCACCGAGACCGCCGGGCTGCAGGAGAGAGAGCAGCCCCCGTCAGGTTCCGACCGAGGAAGTCGAGACAACCGAACGGCGTTTTGAAGCGAATCGCTCACCTGTCCGTGCCTTCTTCTCCCAGGCTGCTGGAGGAGAGCCTCTGGGGGTCCGCAGCATCTCCCCCCTCCTCTCCTGGAGTGTCCGTTTGATTCTCAAACTGCTGGATGATGTTCTTGACACTGCCAGGGCGCACTGCACGCACGTTTTATTTTAGCACAGGGGGRAAAAAAACAGCACAGTAAAAAGAGACTAGTTTGAGCTCAAAACAAATGTTTGTTCAAGAATTAACTAATGGAGGTTAAAAAAACCATTAAAATAAATAATAAAAAACAAATAAGCATGTACCTTCTGAGGGAGACAAGGGGACGTGGAATGCTACAAAACCAAAATGAACCAAAGAGAATCAATCAAATCATGAATGAYAAAACAAAACAAAACAAAAAATCAATGAATAAATCTTGAAATAGATGAAAATGTAAAACAAAATTGGGAAAACTCAATATGACTCGATGGGTACAGGTAGAGGAAGAGTGTGTTTGTACACCACACTCCAAATTATTATGCAAATTGTATTTAAGTGTCATAAAGATAACTTTTTTTTGTTTCTCCATTAATCTTGTGGGTGTTATTGTCTCTCAGGGCTCTGTGGATCACTGAAATTAATCTCAGACACCTGTTAGACGCTAAAATGTGGCTACAAGAGTTGTCAAATAGTTTACATCTGAAAAAAAAAAAAGGATTTTTGCTGAAGGACAATCTGCCATTGTTTCAGAACAGTTAGCAAACCTTTATAGATTTCTTACAACCTGTGTCTGTATAAAYACTTTATGAAGTTTTGGACTACATTGTTTTATCTCTACCTTATTTCCCTACAWAAATTTTGTAAATTCCCATAAATGTTTTAGACAGCGTGGGGCTGATCGCAATTATTTAATGAAGCCAAAGGAAGACATGAAGAATAAAATGTGTTGGGATGTCACAATCTCTGGTCCGTTCCAAATTTTTGTTTCAATTGAATTTTAAATTTTTTTGTAAACATACAGCTTAAGCTTCTGTGAGTGAAATTATCAATAGGGGTGCACTGATTGCAGTTTTCTGGCTGACCACTGATCTTTAAAAAGTCTGATCGGCCGATACCAATTCTTTTTAAATAGCTGACACATTGAGGTGTTATAAGGTCACAATACACCCTCAATGTTCCAATTTGATTTATTTTATTAGGGTGGTATCTGTTTATTTCAATACCAGCCTGTTTTAACTGGACATTAGGTAGTGCTCACAGCAGAGAAAAAGGGGACAGTGACTGATTATCAGACCTTTGTGGAGGTAGATGAGAAGCTGATCTTTTCYACTGATCTTATCCAAGTATTGGCCTATCTACAATCTCCCAAAACGAAGGAAATCGGTTCCCCTAATTATCAATGTCCTATCGAACGTATTTCYTATTATATTGATCAYGTGTCTATCATTAAATATAGCTTTGATTTAACGCCACGCCCTACTGCTATGGGCCTACAAGAAGAGAAACTCATAGTGTGGCCCCCATCCTCCCCTGACCTTAATTAACTTTATTGAGAACATTTGGAGCGTCAAGCAAAAGATCTGAGGGTGGGAGGCAGTTCACATCCAAACAGCAGCTCTAAGAGATTATTCTGACATCTTGCAAAGAAATTCAAGCAGAAACTCTACAAAAACCCACCAGGTCAATGGATTCTGTTATAATGTAACATTTGGTTTCAGTAATGATSTATTTTCAGTTCTTTACAACCTATAAAATGATTTGAAACTCTGTTGACTACATCAGTTTGGCAGAGTACATTTTAAGGGTTTATTTTTAAAAATAAATTGCTATCAATGGGAGTTTTTTTCAATAACATTCACATTATACTCTAATGGTTGATGACTTGAAAATTAAGCTGACTGTCCGTTGCTTTGACTATATTTAGAAAACTCATTTGCACAGTAATTTGGAAAGCATTGTGTTTTAAACACCTATGAGTTCAAAACAAGTGAATATTGTGTGAGTTTATATTTACTGGACTGAGACATGGTCCGGGGTTTCCCAATGTACTTCAGGATGGGGTTCCTCTTTTTATCCTCTCCATCTTTTTTCTCCTTCGTACTGGTCAGCTGCAGTAAAAAGACAAACCAGAAAGCCACATCAAATAATCCTGAATCTTGTAAACTTGGACTCCGATTATTTTTATGTATAAATGGGCAAAACTGTATTATTTTACACTTCATTTGAAGAACGTTTAAAATGAAAAAAAGTTATGCTTTGTAACGTTTTTATGATTTTTTTGTGGCAAAAAATGAAAACTGCTGAAGTTTTTAAACTGTGACTTTAACATGCAAGTACATAATACAAGGGTTATGATAATACAACACAGAAAATAATTACAAATATTTAACTCTACACCAGCTAAGAGATTGGATAACTGAATGCAGGATCTGACCGATGAGGATCAGACTGTTTTTTTTATATTAGTGACAGGCTAATACAAGATATTATTAAGAGTTTACAACTCATAGATCATATAAAAGGAGAAAGAACAGACATAAAATTTAATTGGAAAAATATAATCAAATTTTTAAAACCCTGAGGATTGGTAAAGTGGTGTCTAATCCACAAGCATGCTGCAGATCCTGTGAGGGATGTAGATCGCACACATTTTGGTCCACCCAAAAAATAAAATGATACAAAAAAATATGGCTTGGTTTAAGCAAAATAAGATATTTAAACCTTTGAAAACATACATAAAAAGAAGATACATCCATACTTTTAAAATTATTATTGCTATAAGCCAATAAAAGAGCATCACAATATTATGGAATAAAAAGGTTCCACTTATTTTGCAGAAGATATTTGTCATAAAATAAGACTGAAAAGTGCGATTTGATGAAAAATGTGGAAAACAGACTCATTATTGAAACAAAGACACCGCCTCCATCAAACGAGACAATAGGAACCCTGAAAATGTAATATTAGCGTAGATGTACTGTAAGTGTTATGCTACTGCACAGTAACTG